GAAACCACAGGGACTTACCTTTCACACCCACCACAACATTAAAATGAAGAATTAAAATACCAAGTGTTGATTGAAAATGTAAAACAATTGAAACACTCATTAACCTCTGGTGGGAACATAAATTAGTACAACCACGATGGCAAAGTGATTGGGGTTATCTACTAAAGCTAGCCTACTTACGACTTAGCAGTTCCAAACACACCCATGCGTTTGTACACGGTCAGCACAAGAAATGTACAAAAAAACTTACAGTGGAATGATTTTTAATTGTATAATAGAGAAAAAACATAAATAATCCCAATATTCATCAACGTTAGTAGCATAAAACATATTGTGACGTATTCATACATTGGAACGCTACATTGCAGTGAAAATGAACACTACTTCTAAGTTAAGCAGTAGGAATGGATCCCACAAACAGCAACACAGTGTTGAATAAAAAGGAATCGGTCACAAAGATACAAACTGGGAAGTTTTTCATGTAAAATTTTCATATAAACTAATCTACGGTGATAGTAAAAACAGCAGATTCCTCAGTGGTACAGTGAGAAGGGGCCCCTTGTGGGGGTGACCTAAAGGCCCGATCTCTTGATCTGGGTGGTGGTTAGAAACGGTGTTCACTTTGCAACGCCCACTGAGCTGTGAGCATTTCTGAGTTTTGCACTTTTTGTGTGTATGTTACACTTCAGTAAACTGATTACTCATACAGAAAGGAGTCCAAAATTAAAAGAGAATGAAAATAAATTCAAAACATACAGACTTTGAGATACAGAAATAAAATTTCCCAACAAGTCATCCAAACGCACCATTTTACACGCACACGCACATGCACACACACACACGTGCACATACACACATGAACACACGCACACACACACACACACACACGCACCCCTGTCTACAGCCCTCACAAAAACCACCTGGGACGCTTACTTTAAGCCAAACCTCATCCTCTCTCTGCAGGCTGCCTTCCGGCTGCTCACTCTCTTCCTCCTGAGTTCTGTTTCCACTGGTAACACAGGGAAACCAGCCAGCGAGGGGATGGTGGTTGGGTAAATCTGGATGGTATGGCGTGCAAACCTGAAAGGCAATTCAATCAAAAATTATTAATGTAAGTGTAGAGTAGGAGCGACAAGTAAAGACAATGGAACTCTCCAGCTCAAAACCAAAGTTTTTCTCTTTCTGAGTGCCTGATAATCACATTATTGGCAGAAAACTGTTCTCGATGTAGAAGAATGTCTCAGGGCTCTCTGTAAACATCAAGACATGATTTGCCAGGGTATAAAAACACAACAACAACTTTCAGCTCATTGTCAGCTCAGGGATCTTGCCCAAAGAATAGTCCGGGCACATTTCAGGTGACTGTTCCCAGGATCAGCCGCAGAAGTCGGTGAGGACCAAGGTTCGGTCCTTACCAGGCAGCATCGACCGGCCCCAGGGGTGAGGCTGCTGATTCTGGGAACCACTGAGCATTCAGCTGTGCACAGGAGCCAGAGAAGTAGAACCCCAGGAAGTTTCTCCCGCTTCACTCAGGGAAGACCGACAGGCTGGACTAAAAGCCACTTCAGAGAGCTGTCGCTAACTCGGAACCTCTCAACTTTCCTGGCTTCCTGTCATTGGGTGCTAGAACTCGATGGAAAAAGCCAGGGTGAGGCTGAGAGAGTGTGGCAGAGATGTCCGGTTGCCTAATCATATCTATTCCCCTTATTTTCGCATTAACAAACTCCAGTTGTGCTCAAGGTGACAGCGTATCCAGTTATAAATGCTCAGCTGTTCGGGTTCCTCACAACTAAGGATGATGAAGTGGATCTCACCAATAAGATGTGGGTGGAAGTCTACGGTGTTGAACTTCCAGAAAAGCTGCCATTTCCCCAATAAAAAGGGAAAGGCTCGGCTGGTTGTCATGCACCTGTTTCCCTTTGGCATGCCCCCTTTTTCCTACTTGGAATGCTGACTTCATGCCTGGGGCAGCAGCAGCCATGTTATGAACACGAGGAAGAAGCCTGCAAGCCATGAATGGAAGAGCTGGAATCCAGAAGACACCAGGTTCCTTGATGAGACCCTTAAGCTGGAGCACCAGCTGGCTGGTCCCTCAGTCTCCTCAGATATGTCTCCTCAGGTCTAAAGTCCTATTATTTCATTCTGGCCTGAACCTAGAAGGCTAAATCTCACTTCTGTGAAAGAGCTGCATTGCCTATTGTTATGATGAATGAAAGAGTTTGTTTGGCAATGGAAGTATCTGGAAGGGTACTGAGTCAGGAGTCTTTAGTCTTCTTTCTAGCATTCAACTATAATTTATAAATGTCATCGGTATAGCATCTTAGAGCCCTCAGAAGATTTATCTACTTAGGTGGATATTCAGGTGAGAATTGTATCGCTGAGGATTTGCTTCTAGTACTAACTCTAGGATTTCTTCAGTAATAAAACTTCTTTAAATCAATTTATACTTTGATCCTTAATATATCTTTTAAATCTCATTCGATCCACGGAGTTAAATGCAAAGGGTATTACTATAGCCATTTTGCACATGAGAAAATGGGGACCCAGAGAGGTTAAGTGGCTTGTGCAACACCATGTAATAATAATAGTAATACTGGCAGATCCAGTAGTGTCACCTAGGCCTTCTAACTCCTTGCTACTTCTTTCTCTTTCTTTAAAATAAAATTATCGGCCAGGTGTGGTGGCTCACGCCTGTAATCTCAGCAATTTGGGAGACCAAGAGCAGAGGATCTCTTGAGGCCAGGAGTTCAAGACCAGCCTGGGCAACATAGCGAGACACCTGTCTCTCCAAATAAGAATTAAAAAAAAAAAAATAGCCGGGCATGGTGGTGTGAGCCTGTAGTCCCAGCTACTCAGGAGGCTGCAGCAGGAGGATCACTTGAGCCCAGGAGTTCGAGGCTACAGTGAGCTATGATCATGCCACTGTACTCCAGTCTGGGCGACAAAGTGTGATCCTGTCTCTAAAATAAATAAACTAATTAAATTAAATTATCCCAAACACAAAGCCGAAGCGTAATTTCTGATATGTTTACTAAGCCATATTTCAAGATACTTGTATATACCTTGGAGTCGCTCTTGCAGAGTCAAATGTTCCTAGATGAAAACTGGTGAGGGTAAGAGGCGTGAGTGGGGAGGTGGGATTTATTGCATTGCTAATCTGGAAGCTTTTCACTTAACATTATGTTGTTCTGAGATTAGTAAGGACATAATTTGAAGTCACAGTCTGGAGTAAAATGTAAGCTGTCGCTAAGCATCTGGAGGAGTCACTTCACGGTTTTGCTTGGCCTCAACTCTATTCATCCAGCTTCACTTACCATGGAGTGAGGTTCTCCAGTTACCAAGGAAACAGGACACTTGGTCTTGTCTTCGTTAGAGGAGTAAGCCTGGGTGGCCCACAGATCCAGGTGTCCTTTGGGAGTGTGGAGGCCGCAGTCCACGATGCTGGTTTCCCTCTCAAAAGGCTCACACATCCCATCTCCCTCGTACATGTAGCAGAGGCTGGGCTCCCCTGGCGAGAAATAGTGCACGACACCGAAAGAGTGTTTTATATGTGTCACGGAAAAAAATTAGCAAGGGAGTGTCCACAGCATGTCTTCTCTAGCCCACTAGCGAGAATCGTGTAATTGCCAGCCAAGCTAATGCCCACCCCAAACACACAAATGCACACCCCCCACACCCCTAAGAAGAAGGATTCTTTTTCATTAGGAGAGAGTTAGGATCCATCTACTAAATAAAGGTCTAGCAAGGCTTGGGACCAGGGAGAAGGAACAGGGAGGAAAGAAGTAGCTGTAGGCTGAACATGGAAAGACATTTTAAGTGAGAGTTGAGTGAGCTACTTAGGGGAAGCAGGACATATAAGAGAGAGAGGTAAAAGAAGAAAGGGAATTTAAATCAATGGCATGATGTAGTATGTATTTGAACTCCCTTCATAGTTTTTGAGCTATTCAAGTATTTGAGGGGTTTGTTTTCCACCACTCTTTGCTGCTGGATTGTGTTTCTTCAACTGCGTAACTGCTCTGAAACTGGACGCCATGGCTCCGGCTTTAAAGGATTGCATGTGTATTATTTCATTCAGTCTTAGGCCAACCATGTGAGCTGTGTATATTTTGTTTGTTTTGTCGATTGGAAACCTGGGTCTCAGTGATTTTAAGTGACTTCCCAAAGTACCCTCGACTGGCAAGCAGTGGAGCTTGGATTTGAGCCAGGCACACAGAACACAGTTTCAATGCACTCTCCAGCACGCCACTTTGCCCCCAGCTGGGAAAGAGGGGGCTGTCTTCGAAAGCAAACACGTGGGAAGTGAATATTTGAGAAAAACCGCTGGGGTTGTAAGCAAGCTTATATGAGCCGGACAAGTTCCCTGCCTGCTCAAAGGATAACTCTCAGTAAGTGGCCAGTGCTGACTCTTCATAGGTAGGCAGACTCGCTTTCTTCAACTGTAGAAAGCCGAGAAGCAGTTGCAAAGCCATTTACTAAGTTCTATTGCATTTTCCACCAAAACACGGGACAATTTACTATTAACAGCACAATTCTAATTTCCCATTTCTACTTACAATAATAAGGCATGAAAATAAGATCAAGATTCTAAATAAATTAACACCTAGGCTCATATTCAATAGTATCATTACTAAAATTTACTGTTGCTATCCCATTCTTCTCACTTTTAATTCTTCGCAGCGATACCACAGTGCTGTTTCAGTGACTAGTCTGCTGCTCATCAACATATAGTTATTAATTACTTTTCTTAATAATTTCCTCAAGTGTAAGACCCTTCTGTGGCACATTCATCTCCACATGCCAGAAATAAGTCACTGTTCATAGGACTTGGCTCTAAGACGACTCGGGGCTTTCGGCTGCTGCCTTCTATCCAAACTGCGGCCTATTCAGGCCACTCCCCCAACGCTAATGTATGTGCATTTGGAATTGCTTTCCCATGATGCTTCCTGTCTCTCTCCATCTCTGTATAGATAGATAGAGAGATATTTAATTTTGTTTTGTCATTTTGTTCTGTTCTTCTATTTATAACCCAGGGGCTGCTCCTTCTTGGTTCTCGTCTCTGTTTTTTCACCAGGGACTTAATATTTTTGTCTGTGATTTTTTTTCAAATCCATCTGAAAATAACAGACTGCTTTAAAAATACATTTTATGACAGTTCCTTCAAACCTAATCTTTTGAGAAATAATGGAAGAAAAATTTGTGGTAAGCACACGATGAACTCACAACTCACTGACAAAGATGTCTAATGGTGGGATATATCATTTTAATTTTACCTGTAAATAATTTAAATATAATATTAAATATAGTTAAAATAATTTAGATACAGTCTCACTGGAGTTATAGGCTAAGAAAATACAAGCTGAGCTTTATGGGATCAATTGTGCTACGAACAAGGTAAGGTCTATTTTCAAGTTAAATGAGACTCGAGCTGCCCTGGAGAAAGCACAGTGTTTGGAGAATATATATTTATATTCCATATGAGACCACTGTGTGGTACCAAAAAGGAATGATGCAAACAGAGGTGGCGTTAAGAAATCCTCGTGCACAGAAGAGGGAGGTAATCGGTTCAGGGCATTCTGCATGGCCAGACCACATCTGGAGTATTGGATTCTTTTCTGGGCATTGACCACACGAAGCGTGCCAGTTTGGGGTAAATAGGAAAGGGTCTGGAAACCTAATCGCATGAGGGATGTTTGGATTGGAAAGGAGAATAATGGGGAGGCATTTCAAATATCTGAATAGCAGTCAAATAAAACAGGAAAAAAATGTATTCTCTGTAGTTTCATAGCAAGGAAAACGCGCTTGGTTAAGCACGAGGGGAGTGTGTCCCGGGGCTGGCAACGCGGAGGCCGCACTGTACGCCCCTGGAGGCGGCACGAAAATGTTCTAAGCCTCAGTTTACAAACAGGAATAAGGGAGAAGAATTTTATATGAGATCAGATCATTTTTAAGCAGGATGGTCTGTTTCGAGGTACATTCTTCACTACTAGAAGTATGTAAGCAGAAGCTAGAGGCCCATCTCTCAGGATTTGGTAGGAGGGATTTCTGTAAGGGAGTGAAGCTAGACTCTAAGTCATTGCTGGACTCGTGCTCATGAAGGGATCAGGGTCTCCATCAGACTCCTGGTGCACAGCAGGCACTGAGTACATGGCGCGCGACAGGCATTTGTTAAATGGGTGGATGGACGATGACCACCAGGATTCTCTGATTTAGCTCTGGGTCTAGATGGCAGAGGCATTTGTGTGTTCTATGTAATTTATAATCATACCTACTTTGTCTTAAGACTTAGAGGCATTAAAATATTTTTAAATGAACTACTATTTAAAATGACTTTGATGTGCAGTTATGTGCCACAAAATCATTGCAATATATGCAGATGGGAATGGAAAAGAATCCGCATCTAAGAAACCCGTCGATGGTGGTTTTAACCAGAATTGGGAGAAGTGTTGCAGACTGCCTCCCTGAGTGGCAAGGGTCTAGAGTCGTTTTAGACGCTAAGTCAGAGTTATAATTTATGACCAGTGATGTACCAAGACTAAAAAATGTTCTGACCTCTGTTATCCTTCATGATCTTGTCTATTCAACACATCACCAAGAGACCTGCACTCCCTTTGGCTTAGAATGTTTCCTTACCCTAATTTGTATGTAGGATCTACATAATTGTGCTACTTATCTGACGTTTTGGTGTTACATATGAAGACTCAAGAGAACTCCCTGGTCCCATTAAGCCAGACAGCAAGATAACTTAATGGTTTAACGTGTAGATTCTAGAGCCATACTTCCTTAGTTCAAATCCTGACTTTACTATACTTCTAGCCGTATAAGCAAAAGCAAGTTATTTAGCCTCTTTGCCTCAGTTTAGTGTCCTCATAGTTATTGTAAGGATTAAATGAGATAACATCTGTGCAACAATTAGTGCCTGGCATACCACGGACACACCACATGCCATCGTTATCACCTAGCTGGTTGTTATAGGATATCAAGAACTCACAAGGTTAATACACTGAGTCACCTCCAAAAGTAAGACACGACCGTAGGCAGGGACTCTGGAACTCACCTGCACATCTGAAGCCTTCCTCCAGCTCACACGCCCTAGAGCAGCCATCTCCGCTCAGGAGGTCTCCATCATCACACTCTTCTCCCAGGCTCCTAGAAGGTAAAAATACACGTACACGTGTAATATAGATGGAATGGTTTTTCTTGTTTAGCTACCATCACTTTAAATTCTTAAAATTCCTCATTATGTATTAAAAAGTGCAAGCTGGAGAAAAGCAGGAGCTAAGACAATGCTTATACAGAAAAAAATCAAACATACATATATTTAAAGTAGATATTATTGACGCAGTGATTATTAACTGGCATGTCCAGTGGGTTGTGGGAATTCATGGAAGTCAAGTAGCTCACGGCTCAGAAACACCTAGGAGAACTATGAGGGTCCCGACAGTGCTTCTGGTAGAGGGTCTTAACCTTAGAAAAGGTCTACTGGCCCTATTATGGAGTCTTAGAAATAGCTGATTTGGTGAGAAGAAAACCTGCTTGTCTGTGTGGTTGTGTTTTCTATTCATTTTTACCTACTTCTTTATATTTTCATTGCTTTGTTCCACATAGCTGCAGTTGTAAAAGTCAAGATGTTGCAGAACAGGATCTCTCGTCTATACCCAGAGACTCAAGCAGCCCAGGGTGTATGGCTTTCAGTCCAGGGCATCTCTAGGGCTCAGGTGCCGGTCCTCACTCCCTACTACCACCTGGTGGCAGCTAACATATATTGCAGGGAAGAAACAAATGCTGGGAGAAGAAAACTGTGTTTGTTTCAAATATCAAATGCTAATACAACTGATGATTAAATTTGGATTGAGCTTAAGGAATTAGTTGATAGTGAAGGAGACATTAAACATTTTATGGGAATAAAATACATATGGATTGATGCTGTTATGAAAGAACAAACATTTGGCTATTGCAAAATGGATGAGGGTTATCATTTTTTCTCCTTGACTTTTCACATGTTCAAAATGGACATATATTTTAATCCAGTAGATACAGGACTTTGGAATGCTGAAGTGTTTTCAGACTCAGGATATCACTAATAGCTCTAATCATTGTTAAAATATAAGTCAAGTATTTTATTTAAAGATTAATTAGATAAGAGAGTGTTTTAAAATAAATTAAGAGTATAATATGAAAACAATAATGTAATGATCATATTTTAAATGCTAAGCTGGAAGTGGAGAAAGAATAAAAGAGATATAAAAAACAAAATAATTAAAGAAATTAAGGAAACTTCAAATTCCTTTTCTACACAAAGGCAATGTGGTTCCATGAAAACAGACTGCACTGGGGACCTGATCAGATGTGTGATATAGCCAGGAAGTCTCCAAATACTTTATACCTCAGTTTGCTCATGTATGGAGAGAGGATTAACCTACATCTGTGTTTCTCTACATGAGGTCCAGGATTAATCTTGGAGGTCAAAAATTTTATTCATTCTGAAGATAGTCTAAACAATTAATATAAGCATCTTGTGTATCATCTCGGGCAGTGTTGCCCAATAGATATGTGATGAGAGCCACACATATGATTTTTAATTTTTTAGTAGTCATTACAAAAGTAAAAAGAAACAGGTAAAATTAGTTTTAATAACATATTTCATCTAACCCAACATATCCAAAATATTATCATTTCAATCTGTAATCAGTATAAAATCATCAATGAGGAATGTTATATTCTTTTTGGTATACTAAGCCTTTGAAATCTAGTGTGGATTTTTCACTTATAACACATCTCAATTCTAAGACTTGATCTGCACTTAGATTTCATAAAATTTATAGCCGACAAAAATATTGTTCCAAATATACTTAAAAGTTTTCCGATAACCATATTGATTTTTGTTGTTAAACTAAGTTTAAATTACTTAAAATTAAAGATTCAGTTTCTTAGATGCATTTGCCACATTTCAAAGGCTCAAGAGCCACCTGTGGCTGGTGGCTCCCCCATTGGAACAGCACAGATTGAGATGATCAACTTCTCTGAGTGATCACAATTCTGGGACCCTGCACTGTGTTTGTTTTGATTGTCTTATTGGCAAGCAACACCCACGTGGATTAAATGACCTTCTCGCTTTATGTGTAACGGGGCGCCTCCAGCTGAGCCAGAGCTGGAATTCAGAGATTTCTTCCCATTGGATGGAAGCACTGATTACTCTACACAGAGAGGAAATACAGGCAGAAGTTTAAAAGAATGTCTTGGTAAGGAAACTTGTGAGACCCAGTAGCCAAGCAGTGCTGCCTCAGGAGGATGCGCAACACCGAGTTAGGAAGAGAGCCCTTCCCCCTTTCCGCTCCATGCCCTGCAGGCACATGTGTCACCCTGGGGCCTCAGGGCGGCCACCGTCAGACCGCTGTCTTAGGAGACACGAGGGCATAGTGTTCTGTTCAAGGAGTGCTCTGCCCGTGTGGCAGTGGGAACCCAGCCCTGAACACCATCACTGGTGGGCTGCTGACTTAAAATGAAGCAGCCGGAACAGGGAAAACAACCACAGCAACATGCAGACCTGTTCTGTACACGTGTGAGGCATTCCCAAATGTGGTCTAAGATGGGGAAGGGGAGGTGGCAGGCTGAGACTGAGGTAGGCCGCAGAGGTAAACACAATATATTTTGACAAAGTCTGGGAGATTAATAATAGGCCATCTTATTAGGATGCAGAATCTAGGACAAATCATAGTGTCTGGACTTCCAGCCTCCTGCTCCCAGCAGCTTTATATAGGTAACCAATGAGTTTAGATGAGCAGTAGGGATAGGTTGATATAAGGTGACCAACTGTCCTGGTTTTCTGGGGATTTTTTTAATGCTAAATTGGGAAAGTCCTAGGAAAATTGGAATGAATTAGTCCCCTAGGTTGATATCATAAAAGGGTAACAGGAAAGGAACATGGTACGCTAAGAAACCCAAGGAGTGACTTCGTCTTTACCTTGGTGCTGCTTACAGAATAGCTGGAAATTACATTGTGATCAGCTCTTCCAGGGGGCGAGTGAGCAACTGAACTCAGAAAGATGCACTGACTTTCCTCGGATCCCACAGCTAGTGAGCGGTATAGACCATTGGTCCAAAGGATATCCTCTTGCAGCATCATTTGAGGAGTAACCTTCTTTTGCATAAATTCCAGTCACTGAGGCCTTAAGACGGCTCCCAGAGAATTGATCCCAACACCTCAATACTCTGGGGTGAGCTCTAAATAAAAGTAGTTCCCTCCATAGCTATGCAGAGATGTCAGTGGCCTCAGTATCATGACCAAGCCCCAGATTTTATAATTTCAACACTAGAACCACACAGTGCCTCACCCCTTGCATTTCCAAAACAAGTCAAACTCAAACTGGAGGCTGAACCTCCTGATCAGAGCAGGACACACTGTCCTTGCTCACACATTTCCCCCCTCCCCTCCACAGTACTCACTCTGCCACCTTCCCGTCTCCACAGTAAGGAGCTCCATGGATGTGGTTCAGAGGAGGTGAAGCTTCTCCCAGTTCTGCTCCAGCTTCAACTTGAACTTGGTACCGATACATCTGCCCAGGTGTGACTTCCCTGTAAAAACCAATGGGCTTGGTTTTTACATCCACAAAGTGAGACATACCCTGGGTCCTTTTCGATGGTTTGCAGGAGTGTGAGGGAAACATTACCAAGAACATATATGTTAAACATATGCCACATAGTCTAAAACAAAGATCGAGGCACATAGCCTTATGGAGCAACACAATGTTTGAAATCATTTTTATTTTTGTATTCTCTGTACATTTCACACAGTAGCTATGCGATAAATGCTTGCTGAATTGACACTGAATTTAACAGTCCTAGTCAACCTAGGAGAATGGCATTTCAAGTGTATTTTTACCATATTAAAACAAAACAACTCGTGAAAAGTAAGTCTTTTACATTGTCAAAGTAATCAAAGAAACGACATGAAAGCTTCAGAGTTTGGGCTTGGCAAGGCCCTTTTTGGGTCTGTGGATCAGTTTTCTTATCTCTCAAAACAACTCTTGTTGAGGAGACAGAATCCTGAGAAGTAAGAACAACTGCCTCATAGAAGAAGGTGAGAACACCTTCCATAACCATTTCAGAAATGCATTAAATTACTCCCCACCTCCAAATCTATGAAAATGCATAACTAGTAATAGAGTGTGTCAGTTGATGCTAGAGACAAACAGAGTTTATCAGACCCTCTCCCATGTGGAGCACATGAGAGGAAAGACATTTAGAAGAGGGAAAGGACGTATGAAGGAGATTGCTGGGTCCAAAGACAAATTCTGTCCTCATCTTAATTTTGTCCAGTGCCTGCCCTAATTGGAAAACTACCACCAAAGTCAAGGTGGGATGGGTGTTACTTAGGAGAACAGATCTCAAAGGGCTGTTGGGACTGCCATAAGTGGCCACCATAAATCTTCTTCCAAGACCTTCTCTTCTCTAGCAGACTTTTCAACTCAACCGCAAAGCATCTGCTTCCTCACCCAATGCAGCAACCAGTAAACAGAAAATGTCTCGGAGTTTCAAAAACACCTTCAAAAGCCTCTGTATTGGTTTTTAGGTATTTTAATAGGAAAGACGCCTAAATATTCATTTTTTAAATTTCCAAATTGGTTTTTTTTTCAAGGAAGCAACCCTCTCATGAGAGTGCCAGATATTTCTAAAGCAAAACCAATTTTATTTCCTAATCAATGCTGATGGTTTCCCTTGACAGGGTGGTTACTGTTGGACTTCTTGTCCAGCCATGCATAAAAGTCTTACACTGTTCTGTGGCTGGGGAAAGGAGTGGATGGAAATGTCAGCATATGTTTACTCTTCTTGAGGGAAAAACTCAGCAGCAGGTAGCCCACGCCCTCAACGATCTGAGTTTGTCAAGAGAAAGAGGACCAAAATGAGATCCCAGTTGGAAAATGGATTTTAATCTTGAGTCTACCACTTACTAGCTATTTGACCACATTAAGGTTAAGCTCCAGTTTTCTCATCTATAAAACAGGATATTATTGGCCTTAAAAGTATGTGTGTGTGTGTGTGTGTGTGTGTGTGTGTGTGTGTGGCAAGTTAAACAACAAATGTCATTTTAACTGTCTTATTAAAGAAGTTCAAAAATGATTTCTTTTTCTCTTTTTAAATCCATGATCTTGCCTCCCATTTGCATTAGTTTTTTTGTGTTTCACTGTCTTCTAGTTCTAAGCAAAAACAGGAGGAAAATGTAGTAAAGAATAAGGTGGATGTTCTTCTCAACTGTTCTGTAGCTGTAGTAGTCTGCGAAACGATTGCCCCACCTCAGATGCATTCCTCCACCATGCGACTTCACTGTCTCTCCCATCTAAAGAGAGAGTTTATTTTGCCACCCTTGATGCTAGAATTGATTTGCTTTGGCTCCTAGAACATTAACATGAGTAACACAGAGTGGAGATTTGAAAAGTGCAAGCATTTTGAGCTTGTCCTCTCTGCAGCTGGACAGCCTTCCACCACCATGAGAAGCAGCCCAGCCCAGCCCTTGAGTGTCCACAAGGAAAGAGGCCCTCCTCTTCCGGGCCATGCCAGCTGTCTCAGCTGAGGCCGCCAATATGTATGAGAGGTCATCCCAGGCCATCTGTCTCCGGCCAAGTCAGTCTAGACAAGAACACCCAGCCCACCCATAGAATCATGAGAAATAATGTTTGTTGTTTTAACCCACTACATTTTGCGATGCTTTCTAATGAAGCAAAAACTAACTGACATAACATCTCTGATAAAACTTTGTTTTACCCTATTTCTGCCAAGGGAAATCTCTAAGGAAAATTATGAGATGGAGAGAATTTGCCTTTGGAGATACCAGCCTCCTACTCCAGACATGGAATTCTTTGTAGGTAATGACCTTATCTTAGTCTGTGTCTTCGGCACTGAGAACACAGTGCCAGGAACATATTAATAGTAGCACTCACTAAATGTAGAAAGAAAGAACACTAGTAAGAGAAGAAGGAGAGCTGGAAGAGAAGGAAAGAAGGGAGAGGGAGGGAGAAATGAGAATGGGGGAAAGAATGAAACACATAGCACAATGAGTCATGAAACTGAGTGTAGGCTCTGCGGGGCCCTTGGCCTCTTTGCTCAGCTGCGGAAAGTTGACTACAGCGTTTGAATGTTATAGCATCTGTGGCAGATGATCAGAAAGCTACAGCAGGAAATAAGAAATTAAATTGTCACCAGACAGAAGTACCTGATTCAGATCAACTTATTTGTGGCAATTACGTTCAGTCCAACTGAAACATCTCATACACTATCCTCTTTTTTCCATAATCATAATAATGGCGTCAACAATCAGACACCTGCCTGCCCCTCTCTGGGAAATATTTTTCTCCATCTAAAATACACCATTTTAGATAAAATATCCTCTCAGATTCTAAACTTTCTCCAACTAAGGGCATATACAAATGTGAAAAAGTGGGGCAAAGGAAACAAAACCACCCCGAAAGCCCCAGGAAGCCCCCCAGTTCAGGAGGCCATGCTACCCAACTCACATGTCCGTGAACTTCCTGCGAGGGTGGGTCACTTCCACTGGCAAGCCGCTGGCAAACGGGGGCTCTCGGAGAACCTGGTACTTCACAGGCCTGCAGCCAGAGCACAAGGGACTGTGGGGCTGAGAGGTCAGGAGAGCCGCGTCAATCTCCATCCGCTCATCAAAGGTGTAGACTTTCACCCCCGAGACCTTCCCGTCCACGTGCAATTTGATAGTGAGTGGGGTGTCACAGAAAGTGTCCAAGGGGCCCAGGTGCACAGACTCCTGGTGTTCCAGCAAGATCTCCGTGTCAAAGAGTGCCTGGGAGGAGTCCATGGAGAGGTAAGTGACCCACAAGGTGAGGGTGTCGGCTTGGACCGGGTGTTGGAAGAGCAGCTCCAGGCTACAGCCTTCTGTGGGGCAGGGGACCGTCATGTTCATGTGGTACAGGTGGAGCTCGGGACTCCAGGCCTGCAAGCTCGGCTCGCAGGGCTGATCCACGTCAGGAGGCCCTGTGGGAGATGAGCAGAAAGACACATCAGGAACCGCCATTGAAAGTCTGAATATGAGCAGCCCTGTTAGCAGCAGCCAGAAAGAGGAATGAAGCAGGAGAGAACTGAGAATTCCTCCAGAAGTTGGTCCTCTTAGTAAGTTAGATCTTAGGGAAGGACAAAGGTGCAAATATAAAAAGTATTATGCTCTTGCTACCCCATCCCTCTACACGGTGCTGGTAACAAGAGGAACCCAGCAGGGTATCGGGAATGGAGCAACCCCCATCCTAGGCAGAAACACGAGGCTGGTGCAGAGAGGTTAAGCCATGGCCTTCAAGAATCCTCGAGCAGCAGAGAGTCCCATGTACTGAGTTTATCCATAATTTACGATGAAGTAATGCTTCCGAAGCCCAGTGTTAATTTCAGTTTGTCACTACGATCTTTGTCATGCTTTTCACAGAACTTCTTCCATTCTAAGATCCCACCTTGGCAGTCCTTTCAAGTGACTGACAGTGAACCCGTAAAAGCACACACTGAAATTTCCCTTTCAGTTCGGGCATGTGTGAGCAGGTAGGTAACCACATGGAGGAAACTGCAGGTAGGACACATAAATCCTTGTTATTGAGAAGGGAAAAAATGGAGATGCATTAGCCACGTAAAAATGTATTGATGAAAACTCAAATGTTGCAAATCTATTAAAGTCAGCTCTATGGAAATAATCCACACAAGACGGTTTTCTCTTATAGCACAGAGGAGAAAGTGTTGAATTAGGAGTCTGCAGTCCGGCTCTCACTGGCCCTGTCCTTAGCCGTGTGGCTGTGGCACATCTTCCTATGGCTCAATTTCCTCATTTATAAAATAAGTAATAATTTTTAACCCCTGCCTTTCTAGGTTAGTGGAGATCTAGACAAAGTTTCATAGATATTAAGTATCTGTGTTTGCCAAAGTAGAATTATTTAGCCCTTCAGAATTTGGAAAATAAAGAACGTTCCAAAGCCCAGGCGAAACAAGTTCAAATGTGTGTGTGTGTGTGTGTGTGTATGTGTGTGTGTGTGTGTACTGTGTTACATCTATGGTCCTTATTGGTTTTTGCCTACATTGTGCATTGATTTATTCATTCATTCAACAAAAATTGATGGCGTACTTCTTTCATAGCTAGCGCTAACCCAGGTATTGGAGATAGAGGAGTGAACAAGCAAAAGGGTTCGCCTTCACATATTTTACAGTAGGGTGACAGGTGAAACACTAAATAGAGAGATATAAAGTATAATATTAAGTAGTAATGGCATCTCTGAAAAAAAAATGAAGGCATAGAAGAAGGGAATAGAGAATTATTGGGTGGAGCTGGGAGCTATTTCAGATTGTGGAGGCAGAAGGTTCTTACCAAGAAGATGAAAATTTACCAAGGGGTATGTCTGGTTCAGTTTTCTAATCCTCGTAGCATTTATAAAGTAGCTGGTGGTCAGTGAGTATTCATTAAGTCTCATTAAATAATTTTGATCATATCTGTAAGTCCATGTGTTTGTGCCTGCTCTGTTACAGGGATTCAAGTACTTTTATTGTGTATATTTTAAATAAGATCTGGTCCTTCACCCTTTCAAAGCAAGGGCAGACCATTATTTATTATTAATTATATATACTTAATTTATTAATTTGTGACAAAGTAATGCTTCTGAGGCCCAATATTGGTAGTTCTAAAAACCACTACTGTTACTGCATGCTTATCTCAAAGTACTAGCAGAGTAAAGGCCCTTGGAAGCCAACCCAACAGCAGCACCTCCAGTCTAAACGTTTTTATTATGACCTCATGTTAAAGCACGAAGTAGAGGCCCTAAAAGTTGACTTATTTGCTTCGAGACACAATACAAGAATTAGAACCCAGAACTTCAAATTCCTTTCACCTCTACCAGATAACTTTGAATTTTTCCAAGAATTAAAAATAAAAAAGTATGGGGCCAGGGAATCAAATAGTCATTAAAACACCAGCACAGGACAAACTGTTTGCTACAAAAATAGCCTTTTATGAAAGGCCGATCTCTAAACGACTCCAATGCAGTAAACTTTATATTCACTTTCCATTCTTCCCTGAAAATTCTCATTTGAAAAAAGTCATACACAAGCAATGAAGTCAATTGCCTCCGTCCAGATTTCTCCCTGAGGCCCTGCCACCTGGGTCACCGGGAGCCCAAAGATGACATCTTCCAGGTACCGCAGACTCTTACATCAACGTCCTCCTTTGTTTCTTGTCACAGTCAAGACTGCACACTAACTCAGGCAGGACTGTGTCCAACACATCTTACTGGGTAGTTTTCAGGATCTTAATAAATGTAAGAACGAAAAGCAGAGGAAAAAAGATGGTGATTAGGCAGACATTAAAGATTATGATAATAAAAGAAGTCAAGCCACTCATCAGGAGGTGCTAAAGGTCCTGTCAACAGGATTTTCTGAACTCGAACTGGAGAAAAAACCCATAATTTGTGTTAGGAGCACTAATGTACAAAGGTAGGTGAGAATGTGACGGCTTGAGAAGTTAGGGGAGGGACAGAAAAAGAAAAAGCGAAAAATATTTTCCCCCTCCTGAAGGCTCGCTTAGCTCAGAGCCAAGGCACACGCAGTACCAGGGATTAACAGACTCGTAAAACAGCAGAGACGAGAACGACCAGTGTGGAACACCTAGTCCCCTACCCCCAGCCAGGCTCGCGCGGCCAGGGCATGAGTGTTCTCTGTCTGAGATGGGCTCGCCCTGCCACGTGGCCAGGCTGCTGCGCAGGCCGGTAGGCACATGTGACACCACACCCCGCAGCCGTGTCGCCCTGAAGTCGGCCCGAGCTCAGCCGACTGCTCCATCCCTGTGTTCTACACACCGATCTCTGTTCCACGGTAGCCGCGGGGCCTCCGCGGTCGGCATGTACGGGACATTCTGCACGCGGTGACACCAGGCAGTCTTTCTAAGGCCTCTGGAGGTAGATATCTAGCAAACCACATACCCACACACACACACACCCACACACCCACACACACACCCACACACACCCACACCCACACACACCCACACACACACACCCACACACACCCACACACACACCCACACAAACACACACACCCACACACACATACACACCCCACACACCCACACACACCCACACACACACCCACACACACCCACACACACACACCCACACACACACACACCCCACATACACACCCACACACACACACCCACACACATCCACACACACATACACACCCACGCCCACACACCCACACACACACATACACACACACACACACTCTTTTCCTCGCCACACCACTGCTCACCCTTCACTTCCGCCCCCATTCTCAGCGGCCACCCAGGGATAAATCTAAAAGCCGTGGTACTTTACCCACGGCCTCCTCCGGGGTCCAGTAGCCCGAGGAGTCGCACACCCGCCGGGAGGAAGCTGTGTGCACATACTGGCGAAACATCCCATCCTCGGTGCAGGCGCCGCACACACTGTCCAGGGCCCTGGGAAGAGAAAGGGACAGAGACCGGGACAGTCCGTCAGATGAACGGGAGTAAGGAAGTTAGAAAGGCCTTGGGGGGAGGGGTGACACCTGTAAGGCCCTAGAGGGTGACTGGGGACACAGCTATTTCCCAGCCCACTTCCTTCTGGTGTGTCCCTCACCCTTGCAAAATTCACAGTGACATGAAAATCTCAAGGTCATGAAGCAGAAAAATTTAACTAAGTCGGAAAGGAAGCCTGTGGAGATGAAAGTGCGCGGCTTCCACCCCAGGAACATTAACCCCAAACAAGTGCCATGTGAATCTTTCAACACAAAACTCCTTTCTGCACCAGCTCTCAGTAAGCCGTTCAAAGTCCCCTCGCATTTCCCCCACTAAAACAATCATTTTCAGAATAAGCGTTTTTGTTTCAGAGTATTATGGGAGTACAAACACCTTGGTTACATAAATTGCCTTTGCACTGCCTGAGTCAGAGCTGCAAGCGTGCCCGACCCCCAGACAGTGTGCCCACACCCGTTACGTGTGAATATACCCATCCCCCCCACCTGCCCGACACCCAGTGAATGCTACTTCTGTATGTGCATAATTGCTGTAGTACCAATATGGTGGTGAGTACGTGTGGTGCTTGTTTTTCCATTCTTGTGATACTTCACTTAGAAGAATGGGCTCCAGCTCCATCCAGGAGAATACAAGACGTATTAGTTCACCACTTTTTTTATGGCTGATTAGAACTCCATGGTGTACATATACCACTTTTATTAATCCACTCATGGATTGATGGGCACTTGGGTTGTTTCCATGTCTTTGCAACTACGAATTGTGCTGCTATAAACATTTGAGTCCAGATGTCTTTATTACAGAATGTCTTTTTTCCTTCGGGTAGATGCCCAGTAATGGGATTGCTGGATCAAATGGTAGATCTACTTGTATCTCTTTGAGGTATCTCCATATTACTTTCAACAGAGATTGTACTAGTTTGCAGTCCCACCAACAGTGTAAGAGTGTTCCTATCTCTCTGCATCCATGCCAACATTTGTTGTTTGGGAACTTTTTGGTAAAAGTCATTCTCACTGGACTTAAATGATATCTCATTGTGGTTTTTATTTGCATTTCCCTGATGATTACAGATGTTGAGCATTGTTTCATATGTTTGTTGGCCGTTAGTCTATTTTCTTTTGAAAAGTTTCTGTTCATGTCCTTTGCCCACTTTTTAATGGGATTGTTTGATTTTCTTTCTTTTTTTTTATTTATTTTCTTCTTGCTAATTTTCCTGAGTTCTATATAGATTCCAGTTATCAGCCCTTTATTGGATATATAGCATGCAAATATTTTCTCCCATATTTTCAGAATAAACTTATTAGCTATATGTGTTTCTATGTTTTATATTCCCTACTTTTAATCATAAACACAAAATAAAAGTTATGTGAAAGGTAATGTTCCTTGGCTCTCCATTGCCTTTGGGGATATATCTGAGTTCTTTGTTATGACCCAAAGTCCTTCACGAGCTAGCTCTAGCTTCCACTACTTCAGTTCCTTCATGAATTTTATATTCTCAGCACCATGAACATATCACCATTAGACGAATTCATCCTGACCTCCACACAGCTCCATAAAGCACACTGTCTCGGCTGCCAAAGCCTTTCCAGGCTTCTCTGCTTAGCAAACTCCTACTCACCCCTCAAGAGCCATACAAGTGTAAACTTTGCAGTCACACCATAGCCTGCCTCCTCTGAGTGGCCACACTCCCTCCTCTATGCCTGCACCTGCTGGCTCCTGTTTAGGGCTCTGCCAGGTGGTGCTGACAAAGTCCATTCACATTCTCTCCTCTCCTTTGCTTGTGAGTAGGTCTAGACCAAGCTCAATTCTCCTTTCTACCCCCAGCAGGGAGCACAGGGACTGGATTCAGCAGTCCCTCTGTGAATGCTTGTGTTACGGATGCCCGTGAGATGATTAATATAGTCTATGAAGCATTCTACAAGTACCATATTTGAAGTAACTGAAAGAGGTAGAGACAATAATAGCTAAATAACAATGGAAATCAATTTATGAGGCTTGTCTCTGATTCTTAGAATCTTTTTAGAAGCCCGGTTATGAAGAACACATTCTGAAAACAGAGACATAAAATCAGGGTCTCTCAACAGGTAGGGCAAGACGAGTGATATCGTCTGATACACTAGAAAAATAGTATTGTAAAATAAAGGGAATAATTATGACAGCAGCTCCCACTTCTTAAGCACCTCGCATACCTGGCATCGTCCCACTGCATTGTGCTTTTCATAAATGATTTCTAATCCTCGTAATAACCTTATGTTTACAGAGGAGGAAACTCAGGCTCAGAGAGGTTAAGTAAATCGCCTGAGGTCGCAAGTTCCCTAATTCCTTTGAGCGTGTTCCCAAACACCACCTAATGTCCAGTACTTTGGCAACTAAAAGGTATAGTTAAGATCTAATCTCTGACTCCAGTTGGCACTCACTTCTAACGTGGACACGGACACAACCCCAAACCACATTTCTTTGATGCACTCGGCCCTTCCGGGGCTGCCGCGGAGTGCGTAGCTGGGGCCCCTCGCTGACATAAGGATTCCAAACACCTACTGCAGTGGAATAAACATAACTCCAAGCATGACACAAATCGCTGGGCATGTGACGTGAGTCCCCCTGACACACGTGTTGGGAGGCCTCAAAACTGTAGCCTACCTAGCTGAGAAAAGGAAGCAAATTGCAGCCTTTTCTGCCAACAGACTCTCAGTAAGCAAGTCCTGATGTCTGCTTTATCGTAACGTTTGTACCAGACAGAGAATTCAAAGATTAAATTGTTTACATGTTACATAAACTGATGTAAAACTGGCTTGCACATACCCACAGAGGACTCACTGTGCAGCCAGGCCGACCGGAGCCGCACAAGGTCACACTTGGAGAAGCCGGCTGTTACACACATCACGGAGAAGTGTGTTGACTCACAAACGGAGCCCGTGAGAGCTGATGACAATGACAACTCTTTGGTAGGGCTGCGAGGTCTAAGTGAGGTCACGCAGTGAGTATGTGTGGAGAGATCGGGGACAGGTATCAAGATCCCGAGAGGCTGGGACACCACTTTGAAAGAGGATTCACTGGCTTCCTCCTGTCCCTCTCCCCAGGTTCGGCAAAGCTGAAGGTCATGGAAACATGCTCCAGGGACATCCGGCTCCTTAGCTGAGGCCTGACACCGGACGGGAAGTGTGGCACCAAGGATGGGAGCAATCTGTCTGCGAAATGGGAAAGTTCTGCGTGCAAAGAAATCACCTCTCCCGAGTTCCTCATTTCTACATTTCCAGCGGACTCCTTAACTCGCCTCCGTTTAGTTGCGGGCTCTTGGGCTGGCCGCCGTATGCTTCTCCATCCTCAGATTCCACACGTACACAGCAGGAGCTGTGCTCACCGCAAGGACTAGATAAGACAGGTGTAGGCCAGTGCTGCGCACATAGTAGCCCAATGCCGCGCACATAGTAGGACTAAACCGACGAGCTACTCGTTATTCGGGATACAGTAGTAGGTTTTGCAAGACGCCAGTCTGCACAGGTCACAGATGGGGTTCTGGTCCCTCTCCGTTGAACCACGTTCCCCCACCCCACTGCACCCCACCCCACCAACTGACAGATGTCATTCGTTTTCCTACCTTTATCTCCTTTTTACAAAAATTTCCCTGAAATTCATCTATACCGATATGCAAAGAATGAATGAAAGTGAGCTTCAGGGGTAACGTTTTTCTTCAATAAACACGTATGAGGTGTCCTTTGAGACAGACCAAGAGGCAAAGAGACAAAATATAGTCCTGCCCCCGCCCCTAGGTGCCAGTTGAGTGGGGCTGAGAGGAAAACGAGCAGATGACACTTCCATGAGCTAGCAGCCATAGCAGGGGAAGACGGGGGTGGGGGTGTTAGACACACCTGTGGAGGTCGGTTAGGCTCCTGACGCACAGCTGTGGCAGTGCGCACACGCCACTCACCTGCACCCGGGCTGCCTGGAGGGACGCACCTCGCTTCCCCGCCCCCAACACTGCAAGCTACGGCCCCACCCTCACACCACGGTGGAGCAGCCGACTGGGACCGGTGGCAAATGCCCTCTCGGTCCCGCCAGTTCGCCCACATCACGTTGGTCAGCCTCGTCAGTCCTCTCCCTGAGGAGGAGAGAAGAGGGCACACGTGATGGACCGTCGGCTCGCGGGAGAGCCGTGAGCTCTGCGAAGGCGGCCGGACTGCAGCAGGCTGGAGGAAGCAGCCCTGAGCAGTGTGCTCCAAACTGGGCTGCCTCGCTTCTCAGTTTCCCCTTTGTCCGTGTGAAATGCCGCAGAGGAAACGCACCAGCCCGCCACGGCCAGCGCCTCTCTCACCTGTCGTACACCACCCCACTGATGGGGGGCAGCCAGTGGATGGTGAGGGACCTGCGGGTCTGCCCGATGACCATGGGCGGGATGGGGATGGGGGTGGGCCTCCTGCTTTCGCTCCACTGCTGATAGACGAGGTCCAAATAGCAGTGCATTCGGGCCACTTGGTTAGGGGTGAAGCTGTCGGTGCAGTCATCGTCTGTGGAGACAAGAACGGGAGCGCAAGAGATGGAGGCTTTACTCTGGGGAGTGCACCGAGGCAGGGGTGAATTCTGCCCTGCTCATGGCTGAGTGACCAACGCCTAACCCGCCACCTTGCTCTTACCGGGCTCCATGAACACTTGTTAAATGAATGGATAAATACTCTGTTCCAGAAAGTATCTAAGCTGGAAACAGGTCGGAGAAGGCGGGGACGCAGGGCTTGCCTATCTCTAAAGCAAGGCCATTACCTTAATGTTGGGCTGGCCCAGGTGAGACCCACGCCCCGGGGTGCAGGGTTGCTCTGGGCTGATAGTTGCTTATTCAGCAAACCACAAGATGGCAGTGTTTCAGCAGACGACCTCTTAGCTTGTGAACATTGGTGGAGTCGCAGTCGCAGACACCTGCTTTATTGCCCGGTGACGTCGGCAAAGGTCAGTGAGTATTCAGCGGAGATGCTCCAGGAGAGAGAGCCAAAATGCCAGGCAGACAGCAGGGCTGGGCATGGTGGTCCCGGCCTGACTGTCAGCGGAGGCAAAGTCTCCCTATTAGCTTCATTTTTCACAGGGCCGGGAAGGGAGTTGTCTTAGCTTCAGGGATTTTTCCAATGAAAACACACCAGTCAAAACTACCCCATCCTGCTTCTGAAATGTTTCCTCTTCCCACCTCACAGATGGAACCTAAAGAGCTCTGCCCTCTGCACCTCATTGTCCGGTCTCTCTGCCCCAGAAAGGGTCACTGTCCTTTTTTGGGGGGAGGCAGAGGTGCCGGTGCTTATGAATTTGATGCACCTGAATTATTCACCAAATTGAAACTCGGGTAGAAACACCTTGGCAGGTGACAGACAGAACCAGCTCATCACTCTTTCTTCCCTTCAAAGAAATTTAAACAAGGTATGGTGGTTACATTTCTTTTGGATAGTTCTAGGAGAATTTATCACCAAACAAGCCCCTGGAACTTATAGAAAAATTATCCTCCTTCACCATTGGAGCAGGTCATCAAATCAAATCACTCCCTAATTTTAGGGAAAAATTTAAGTCCATTATCAGGAGACTGGTTAGTATTACCTTTTCTCGGAAAGGAGGAAGGTATAAGAGACAGGGAAAAAGGATAAGACAGAAGCTGAATTGAGGAAGGACAAGACCAGACAATACACTTGTTCCCAGGACCAGGAAGGCACCATGTTTAAAATGAGACGGCACCACTGAGGGGTAGGGGGTAGCCAAGCTAAGAATCAGTGCTTGGCTAGCAATGGAAGAAGAGAATTTGACCTCTTATAATGATACGAAATCAAAAAGAATCGTGAGCTTAAATTAATCAAACCACCTTGCTGAGCACTGCAAAAATAATGCAAAGAGTCACCTTGACCCGGAAACCTCTCTCCCCCATCACTATTGGACTCTCTTTCAGAGTAAGGGCCTAAGAATGTGGGCAAGGTAAGAGCCACCAAGTTCTAGAAGCTGCAGGGATCTTAACGGGCCTTTTGGCTTTGTCCTTTTTTTACTATGCAAGACAGAAGTGTATTTTTTTTTTTTAGATCTTTAGTAGAGGAGAATTCCACCAACAAAGCCCCTTAATATTTCACTATTTCTTTGTGTTCTTTGAAGACATGAAAAAAGAAGACTATCCCATGATAAATACACTTCAATTCCCTGACAAAAACGGTCACTTGATCATTTCCCGCAGCTCTGACACCTCCGCCCACCAGCCTCCGAAGGGCCCCCACGTGTCCGTAACAGAAACCACAAGCATCAGGGCCGATGCGATACCTGTGTAGCTCATGTAGTTGCTGAACGGAGCCCCTGGGAAGTGCGTGAAGCCACAGGTGTCGTTGGTGGGCTCTGGGTCCCGGCACAGCTTACTCTTGGGAGTGGGGGCAGTGTCGGCACAGAGGTCTCCCGTCTCCATGGAGGGCACCGTCTCCCGGCAGGGGTCGTCACAGGATTCTCTTTCACTGACCCCTTTGAAGACGTGGTAGAGTCCCAGGACGTGCCCCACCTCGTGGATCATGATGTTGGTGTGGCCGGGCATCCCGTAGTAGGCTGGGTTGAGGACGACGCCACCTGCAAGGGAAGGTTTGAGAACGTCTCTGAGCATGGAATGAACAGCAGTTCTCCAATTCCGATAAGCACCAAATATTGTATTTGAACCTCTAAGGACACACTTTGTGACTTCCAGTGGCACATAGTCACTGCTCTTTGCTCTTGCACCAGCACCCTCTAAATTAATCAATAAACATTTGTTTAACCCCTATCGGGGGTGAGTGCTGTACTAGAGGCCAGGGGTATCAACGTGGCCACGATGGCATGGCACAGGGCCGGGATCCTCAGCCTTGGGTGCCCATTAACCTCACCTGGGGGAGTTAAAAAAAATACAGAGGTACAAATACTCCTCCAGGCAAATCGAATCAAAATATTTGAGGATTGCGTTCACGTATAATCATTTTTTTATGACTTCCCAGCTTGAGAGCCATTGGTCAAGTCCTGGCCCCTGTGCATACTAGCTATGAGGACTTGAACAGTTATCAGACCTCCCAGAACTCAGTTTTGTTGTCTGTAAAATGGGGGTGATAACACTAGTGTTTGGGGCTTTTTTAAGTGTTTGGCACATTGTAAGAATTTAGTGAATGACGGTTATGTAGGCTGCTTCTGATTTCACAGCCCCCACTCTTAAGTAACCAGCAACCAGTGAGACAAAAGACAAGTCTAACTGAACTACCATGAAATTCAGATAGTCACGGGCCCTGGGGGATGTGCCCCGCCCTCATTCTCCCAAAATCTCCATGAGAACACCAAGGGGAGTGTTTCAAAGAAGAGTTCATTGCTTCCAATCAGTCTTAGATGAGAAAGACGGAGTGGGATCATTGTAACCTTGCAAAACCAAAGGCTGCGGACCTCTGAGTGCACCACCTTCTGCCTGTCTAGCTTGTTGGAATCCAAATTCCAGCTTCCCACCCCATGACTTTAGTTCTTTATTCCCCAGAATTGTCAGGGTCAGGCCCGGCCTCATCTCCAGACCCTAAGACAGAGAGTCGCCAGCTCTGGATCAACCCTCTGGGGTCCAGAGTCACCCGGGCTGCGTTGCCGGCAGGCCTGCCCTTCTGTCTCAGGTCTGAGCCCGGTTCCCAGGACTCGGTTCTCACTTGACACCTGAGACCTCCCTCTATCAATAGTTTTCTGAGTAGAGCAGGCCCTCCAGAAAAACAGCCCTTCCTTTCCCTTCCCAGACCACAGTGCAAGGACTGTGTCCTATTCCTGAACTGCAAACGATGCCCCATAGGTGACCGCATACCTGGCTCCATGGGCAGGAGACAATCACGGGGTACCTGGCACGACGCCCACCGGTTCTAGCTAATGGGCGGTTCAGTCTGCCTTTCTGGTGGCTACTGCACAGGCACTTTCTAAATCCAAGTTTCTCAGTCTACTCAGCCTCGCTGCCATCGACCAAGCCATGCCCAGCCTCATCCTGAGACACGGTGTCGACTTCCACATCCGAAACAGAGCTAGATCTCACCTCCCGTGTTGATCATTTCTACCACTTCTGGTAAAAATTCTTATTCTCTGACATTATCGTTTTTTCTCTCTCTCTCTCTTTCCTTTTATAAGGTTATTTTCAGAATATTTCCTTTACGTGTGCCTCATTATTATGTCAACATAAAGTTGAAAACAGGACTGTCTCAATAACATCCAGGGTGTCCAGTATCCGAATAAACCTCATGAAACACAGTGTTTCCATTTCCAAGATGCCTACGCTTCTTGTGCACCTGCCCGGTTGCGGCAGCTGTCATCCTCAGAGCTCACACGCGATTGTGCCCTCCGTCTTCCGACAGCATAGCGACCTTCACCTCAGCGAAGATGTTCTCAGAGAACAGCTTTCTGTTCTCTCCAAATGCCTTCACCCTCTTCATCCTTTCCCCTCCCCCACACCTCTTCCTTCTACACACACTTATTCCCTTTCTCTCCTCTTTATTTTCCTCCCTGCCCCACCTCTACAGAAGCTTTGGGTTAAAAAAACTAATCTGCCAGAAATAGGACTTTAAAAGGCTACAGTTCACCTATAAATATCCACACTGATTGGTTGTTCCCAAATTGTGTTCATAAATTCTGATCTTGGATGATACTTTGAAAAAAAAAAAAAATAGTGGTATCACATATTTGAGAAAATTGCAGTATGCTATACTCTGCTCCTGAAGATTCACAAGGTATATGAGAGTTGCTATATTAAAGGCCCTGAAAAGTCCTGCAGCAATTGTGTTTAACCCTTTGCTTTCCAAACTGATTTGAACATGGGATCTGTTTGGGGTACAATACCTTTTGGCATCTCTAGAGTACCAGATTCCTTGGTGCACAATCCAGGAAACACCACTCAAGAGGAAGGAAACTTCCAGTCAATAATTATTTTCTCCCTGTATGCCTTACCTCTGAGTGAATATCAAATATCCTCTCACCCTGTGATCAGTCCTGCCCAAGTCCTTTTGTGATCTCTTCCAGTTACAAAGAAGGGAATTATAGATGAACAGAACAGGGTTCTGGGAAGAAAGAATGGCAAAAGCAGCATGTGTCAAGGAAGGAGGATGACTGGGAGTGTGGGCCTGGGACACCAGAGGAGGACATGGGGTGGTCGCTGTGACACTGGGCTTCTGGCCAATGCCAGAAGTCTCCACCCAAACCCCAAATGAGATACGTCCAAGCTGAAGGATCCTCTGGTGTGTAGTGAGCTTTCAACACGCCAGCTTACGTATAAGTGGGGGGAGAAGCACAAGACTGCACGTCCACGACACCCCCAGTAAATCCTCTCTACCCTGGGACAGCGGGCGGGTCCTCCTCCTCCAAGCAGCCTAGACGCACGTTCCCAGGACAAAAGAATACAGGTTTAACCAGACAGTGTTTACATTTTAATTAAAAACATAAGCCCTTCTTAACACACATTTGCAACAGTTATATTTTCAATCCCAGAAAAATGGGACTTCTGCTAGAACATCATCCATACGGAACATATAATAACGGGCTTCGTAACTACATGTGTGTTAAATATGACATTGTGCAAAATACAGAAATACAGAAAATACAGAACAAAACAGTGTTCTAATTTAGGGGTGAGCGCTGTGCACACCAATACTCATGAAGAGAAAAGCCCAAGGTCGTGGACCTCTTGTAGCAATTCTACCCGACAGAGCACAAGGTCAGAATCGTCCCTTGGGACTGGAAGTAAGGGAACTTGGAGTGTGGCGTGTTAGCCGACCTAACTAGCCTGGTCCCTGCCATCCAACCTTTCCCTGGGTCTGCTCATCTGTAAAATGAGGAGCTAGACTGGCCTGGCACTAGGAGTCCTTCCTAGTGTCACCCCACGCCTCTGAGAGCCAGCGTGGGGTCCGTGAAGCAATCATGGCACATGTGCTATCAAGGACTGTGGTACCCCAGCCTGTGGCTTGTGTTCCCAGACCCCGTCTCTCGACAGCTGGAGGGAGGTGGGCAGCGGAAGGAGCAGTGGAGACATCCTACTCTCACCTGCCACAGGTTCCCCGGGGACCGGACCCACTGCCGGCGCATCCTCACAGCCTTTTCCACCCGTCTTCCCCTCCATCCCCTCGTGCGCACACACGGGGCCCACGCTGTTCCCGCTCGCTCTTTACTCCGACCAAGACAAACTTGTGAAACTATTAGGGGAGTGGGTTTTACTCACTCACAGACACACTCGCCCTAGTAGGGGAGTGAATTTTCCCCCCTGACTGGGACACACACACACTCACACCCATGTAGGGGAGAGGAAAGACATCGATTTATTTCATGATTTGGTTTAGAAAAGTTCTTTCATGTTTTAATGAAAATGACACACACACACGTGTGTATTCATGCCAAAGCCTGAGTGAAACAT